AAACGAGTCGTCAGGAATTCGAATCTTATTCTGTTACGGCTCTACGTCACAAAGTAACACATTTGCATAATGTCTGCCCACGTTTTACGTCGCCAACTTGCCCGCCCACAAAAGTAAAATTTCAGTGTGGTTAACATCATGTCGAGAAGACGCTGTATCCTACGCTGTGAGAGTAAATTTGTTTTATCACATCTTATAATTACCACAAACTTGTTAACACTTGACGCTTACCACTGAGAAACGTCCTGCTCCAGTCGTGCTTGCGAATCAGTCTTTTGTCGATCAGCCAGTTCAACCGTTTCATCATCTGACTTCGGCTCGAATTGGTAAGGTACAATCGATACCATCTTTTCTATGTATTGACAAGTCTCCAGGGCTGTCATTCCGTCATGGCAATGGGCGTTTCGTTTCCGACACGCGCTGTACGCGGTAGACCAATCCAGAGCCAATCTCTCTACGGCTCTGGACCAATCACAAAGGACTGCGCCATCTGACCAATCACAGCAGTGAGGGCTCACGGAAAGGAGGGGTTTCGAGAGACTGATTCTTTGAACTGCTTCACACGAGTCGTTTACGAATCATTTAGAAATGAGGTCAAATTAAATTTACAATTTATCTTTTGAGAAAACTAACTTGTTTTTTGACCTTGCATGCATGTAAACCTGTTTTAGGAGATACATAAAACAATATTAGCAACCTTAAAAATGGCATAATAGGGGCTCTTTAAAGCCAGTGCAGACCTCTAACACACACACACACACACACACACAAAACTCATCTGCTTCTGGCCTGAGTACATTTTCAGCCAATTTTATTTTTGAGGAACCAATGTTTATTATCTTGATGAAGGATTGTGTATTAAGTTAAGAGCGCAGTATATTGTTTGTGTGGTAGATTTTAAAGTAGGCATGAAATGAAATTTTTTTTTTCCTAAATGCATCCTATTGTGAATGATTTATCCATGCATAAGTTTTCTTTTTAATTTATTATTATTATTTTTTTTTTTTACCTTGTAATTTTCAATCAAAATGTCATAAATCGATCCTCCACTGAAACAAAAGTCTTCTCTCTTCTCTCTTCTTTCTTTGGGGAAGTCGTAGCCTAATGGTTAGAGAGTCGGACTCGTAACCCAAAGGTTGCGGGTTCGAGTCTCAGGTCCGGCAGGGATTGTAGGTGGGGGGAGTGAATGTACAGCACTCTCTCCCACCTTCAATACCACGACTGAGGTGCCCTTGAGCAAGGCACCGAACCCCCAACTGCTCCCCGGGCGCCGCAGCAAAAAATGGCTGCCCACTGCTCCGGGTGTGTGTGTGTTCACTGCTGTGTGTGTGCACTTAGGATGGATTAAATGCAGAGCACTAATTCCGAGTATGGGTCACCATACTTGGCCACATGTCACTTCACTCACGCACTCACGCTCTGGTGAGCCTGGGATCCCTCTCTTCTGTTCATAGCGCTGTGGAATCTCCTTTGTTTCTGTTCTTCATATCTTGTTATTATGTTTTCTTTTTGTAGTGGTCCAAATCGAGGTCATTATATCACTATAGTGAAGAGTCATGGCTTCTGGCTGCTGTTTGATGATGACATTGTAGAGGTAAGTCAAAATATAATTGTTGTTCTGCTTAATTAATTAATAATGTATTCCTGTATTCCAGGTTACATACAACAATTCTGTAACATGCTGTTAGTATCCAGAGAAAACATATTTTGACTCAAAATAAAAAGATCATATACATTATTTCTCTAAATAATACTATTGGCTCATAGACTTCAATGCTTTTACACGTTTATTCTTTGTTTTCAAAGAGGTGAAAATTTTCTTAAATACTACTTTTGATCAAGCTGAAAATTGTATTTAACCTAGAATAGTTTTTTTTTAAAGAGAACAGCGAAAGTAGAAGTATCTAAAAAAAAAAAACACAGAGACCTTAAAGCATCAGTTTTAGTTCAGCATACTTGATTGTTTCTTCTTCCAGCTGTTATTACAGTATGTTCATTTTCACATTTAGTTTGCGTTGTCTAGCAATGAATGTATGATTTGCAGCCCAAGGTATCTGGAAGTCTAGCACTGCACAGTAGCATATGTATCAACTTCCCCTGTCAGGTGATTTGTAGCTGCTGCTTATGCTTCACTAAGTGCTTGTCTGGAGTTGTCCTCACATTGACCCAAATACTTTAGAGTTCTCTGAATGAATTATAGGAGAAGTGATGCATTAATGAGACCAAGACCAATACTTTTATTCATTTGAATAGTTTAACTTGATGTTTAGAATGTAGAAGTTTGTGTCTTGTTTTAAAGAGCAATTTTTGTTGAAACATGCTAAAAAGAGTGCTATATGAATTGTGACCCAACCCCATCTTTCCATAACATCCTCATGCCACTTGATTGTTTAGGTTTGCTCTACACTGATAGCTTAAAAGCGTACCTTGAATCGACATTGAGACAGATTTTCCACCACCTGCGTGCACATTTATAGTATAAATCCATTTGGTTTTGACACACAGATGTGATATCCGCTCTGCTACACGGTAACCCTAGACAAATATTTACACACATGTTGTGAACACAAACTCTCAGGTGCTTCTCAGAACATGAAGTGGTTCTCGTACCATAAACAGCAGTCTTGTATATTAAATACCAAGCACAGTGGTGGTGTAAGGCGCTATATGTTAAATTGAGGCAGAGGGCTTATGGAGCTCTGTTGCATGCTAAAGTCAGATGTTCTTTATCTGTTTTTTATCTGATGTCTTCCCAACTGCACATCTGGAAAGAGAAAAATAAGAGCTTTCTGGACGGAGTAAATTTCCACTTCCACAGCTTTAGAAGTCACTTAGGGTGTATTCACACCTGTCTTGTTTAGTTCGATTGAATTGAACTCAAGTTTGTTTCACCCCTTGGTGTGAATCTTTTGGGCAGATGTGCGGGTGCGCACTCGGGTGCGCACCAAACAACCGTACCGAGACCCAGCTGAAGAGGTGGTCTCGGTCCGCTGTGAATCGTGTAATTTCTGCACCACTAGTGACACCCTGCAGAAATTCTGGTTATTGCTTGAGCCAGTCTTGTTTTGTTTGACCCTGTTGTGATTCAAATAGATTGCAATTACGTTCGGTTAGGGATGTAACGGTATGAACATTTCTAATCACGATTATAGTGACCAAAATTATCACGGTTATCAGTATTATCACGGTATTGTTAAAATGTGCTGGAAATGTTCAAAAAGTACTGACACACAAATCATTTCACCAAGTTTTACATTTAAATTCAACAAATAAAATGAGTTTTTGTTTGCATAACTAAAACAATAAGGTAAATCCACTCTCTGTAGCTTTTGGAACAGTAGAATTAGAGCCGTTTCCCATAACCTCCAAGGACAAAGCAGCATTGCGCTTAAAACACTACTTTATTAGGTATTACATGGAGCGAAGACAAAAACAAAATGCCATCAAATATTTTCTGAAGACAATCTTCAGAGGTACATTCATATAATTAATTCATCCATATATTCATTTGTATAATTCCCTTAGCACTCTTTAAAACCTCCCAGTTTTCCTCCATGTTTTCACACAAAACTAAACCACTTTGCTGCTGTGGGCACGTGAGACTGTTACTGAAACCTGTGTTTTATGCTTCAGGGCTCCAGACTCATTCTTCCCACTGGTCGCTCTTTTGCGACTAGCTTTCTCAGTTGGTCACACCAGCAGATGATTTGGTCGCAG